TGCACAATTTATTACTGAAATCATTTTGCTGCATTTAAACTGGTGAACATCACCGCAAACGGTTCATTAATGTGCACAAAATCAAATTAAATTCACAAAACTTCTCAAAATAGAGCTGAAAAGTTCCTCTTGTTGACGTTTTATTTCAATGGTCTCGCAGAGCGCTAACAATTGGTGGTGTTTAGCTAAATATGTTCTCAGTTTGCCTGAGCACATGTTTTAGCTATATGCTTGACACTCGATAGTGTAGCTTCTTTTCACTTCTGGCTGTTATTAGTCTGTCTATTATTCTCTGAATTCATCTCGCGTTGAATCCAGTCAACAAAATGTTCTGCTACCTTCATTCGTTTTGCCAATGCAGTTTCATCCGCACTTAACTTTTGATTTCAGAGTAGCATTTTATCTCACGAAAAGCGATGTTTTCCCTGACCCCTCTGATTTCTATTGCTTGTTAAGTTTATGATGTCTATTCGCCTCTAATAATCTTCGGATAACGTGTCTGTTAAGTTTCAACTCATGGTCCAGTTTGGAACCTCAAGCGTAAAAGGTGAATTTCATCTTTCTTCCCATGATGTGAATTTGACCTACTCTCAATAACTTCTTCCTTTCTTGTAAATCACTCTGGTTTGCCATTCCTTGATTAAGCTTTGTCATCGTGGATGAAGGCAATTCATTTGACTTTTTCGTTTTTACATTCACGAAGATCAAAAAATCTTGACTGTGTATCCACAGTCGCTTGACCCCCACTTATTTTCAAGGCCAAATCGTTCCAACAATCCAGATTAGGGTGGAGTAGCAATGAGTGGATCAGTATCATAATGAAATTCCAGGAGCAATTCAAATGGAGTTCAATTGAATTGCCCTTCAATCTCTTAAACATTGTAGACGTTTTTCATCAACTTCACTCGTGTTTCCCTGTTCGCCTGGTATTCCATATGTCAGACCTTGGGTGGAGGTTTTTGGTGTCAGGGTGCATAGATTACATGAAGCATGTTGATCGTTGTTTTGGGGTAATATGATTCAAATATACAAGACGTGTTTACCGACTATTTCATTAGCTTCACTGAGATTGTAGTAGAACAATTAAACACTCAGATCACTGCTTATGAATGTTGCACCGTGCACTCACTCATAAGTCTATGAATATTCGTAAACTAGCTACTGCAAACCAAAGGAATTTCTAAGCCAAAACATTATTCGTTATGCAAGATATCTCTGAGAAAGTCATGATAAAAAATGTCTAGAAACGTTTAAGGAGTATACATCTTTATTTGAAAAAGTACATTCTCTTAATCATGGTGTAAGAGTTATCAACCAATAAGAAAGTAATCGTCTGCAATAGCGAGTGATCATACAGTTCAGTCCGAGCATTTTATGTACACTCAATTAAGTGCTCCGGAAACGTCCATTGATATTTTGACGAGGAATTACATTTAGGAAATCATTCGGTTTATGGGTTATTTGGTTAATTTTGTACACTTCAATTTGAAGGTAGTTTTGTTTCCCACATTTCGTTCTGATCAAAACAAATTCTCATCGGATGTCTTCATACATATCCGATTGGGTTGGTGTAAAGTAACATACCAAGACATCTCTTACGTGATGCGATTGCATCCGACTGGCTCTTTCATGCCGTTACGATCTGTTAACGTCATTAGATAGCAACAAGCTGTTTACGTAATAATCATTTAATAATGTAGCCTATCTATTCTCTGTAGCAATGATGAGACCAAACTCAGAATAGACTGAGTGCATGAAACTATCTGCATGTTTCGGGTTTGCGTGATTTTCGTGTTCGTGAAGAAATTGGGAGACCGGGTATAATCACATATTTCCTGCAGTTCATCTATGTACTTCCAGATGCTTGGCATCAGTATGACCTGCACAGTGACAAACAAATCAAATTTGTGATAAACTTGTCCGATTAGTGATGCGTATTTTTTTCAACAAGAAATGCAACAGTCATCTCAATCGTATTTCTGAGTTTCCTTTTACTTAAAACAAACAATGAAGTGATGTTTCAAAACCCCAAAATACCCTAGATTTTATATTTGGTTCGGGGTAATAACAGGCGCAACAGTAAGGAACTTAGTTTTGATGTAAATCAATAAAACCAGCCAAAGGCGCTTTTGGCATGCCCGGAGCTGGCGAGGTACTCACTAATTTGATCTAGATAAGGTACTATGCAACCATGGTTACGACTGTCAACAAGTTTTCGCAAAGTGAGTTGGATAAATACTCTTGAAACTCCATACAAGACGTTACCTTTGCAGGATGTAAAATATTTACACAGAAAAATGTGAAAAAAGTTTCAGTTTCTAAAATGTTGGATATCCGTTATCTCCAATGTTAGTTACTATGCCCTATCCAAATATTTTTATGCTTCTTGACTCTACTGATTTTTTATAAATATCGTTGATTTATTCCGTGCAATGAACAGTGTTTGTTTTGAACCATGAGAATGAATAAACGCATGTTTCATTATAATCCCTCTGAAAATCAAACCCATATGTACTTTAATGTATATAATTGTTAAAAGCGCATCTTGCCATCTTAGTTCTGTAATCAAACTGAACCGATTTAGAACATTTTCCCTGAGGGATATATATATATATCACCGACTTGCGGACGAGCATGATGTTAATGCCACAATAATAACAGAGCATGTGTGGGTTTTGGATACAGAATGTAGTAAAAAACAGGTTAAACAGGTCCAATGAAAAACGCAGATGACAGGAATAACGAGAAATTTATTTGTGTTTCATCGTACACTTTTTGATACAGAAATGCAGTATGAGGTATCTTAAAAAGCTAAAAGATGAGAGACGTGAGTTTCATAAGGATATAATAGCTACTTCACAACACTCATATTCAATATGACTTGGCTAACTCATCTTAAGAGCATTGCGCTCCCTTAAGCTGCTTCCTTCGGGAGAACAACTTCGGTGTAGTGAGGATCAGAAGTGTCCATGTGCCAATATCATGTTCACTCTTGGCATTAAAAGTGAGGAATCTAGATAAAGCACTAGTGGAGATGTATATTGACAATGAGCGGACTTATCAGTATTTCACTGATTGTATTTTATACTCCAAACATATTAGTTTGAAATTTTTCAAAGCCAGTTCCTTAGCTCTCTCTTTCTGTTTCATCTTTTTCAATAAACTTGCTTTAGTAAGGATGCCGGATGAACTGAAAAACAGTTATCTACTAGAATCTCAGTGAATACACCAAAGGGTCTGTCGTCAAACGATTCCAAGTTTCTGTTTAGTTTCACCTTCCATTATCTTTTGTACTATAAATAGTAACACACACAAGTGTACATTCTGTATCATAATTCGCCTAAGTGTCAGTTTCATGCTGAGGCAGTGTTTATTTGTTGTTATGCAACTGATCTGTGTAAGCTAACCGATTTAGTGGCTTTCCTCGCACTGACATGGCCATACTGCGACTAAGATCTTGGCCACTGTTCCCAAATGGATTCAGATTTTCGTGATCCTTGCCCTTTGAGTAGATTTCTCTTTTTCCGTGTGTCTCTCTAGTTACAAACGTATCTATTCCAACCAAACGTGATCTCAACACATGCGATTACTAAAATACTGTTACATTTGTCACATTCTGAAACCGTGCTCTTTCTTTACCATAGAAATACCGAAGGGTATTGGTTGCAATAGTAGGGTTTATTATTGCCTCACAGGTACTACTTCGTTCCATAAGGATACTTATAGGTTAATGTTAAAATAACAAAATTATTATTGTTTAAAGTTCATTATCTCATTTTTTTATCACAATATTGTTTGTCGTATGCATTCCTACGTGGCTTTCGAAAACGGCCAACAAATGTTTGCTTTTATGGATGAACACAAGTTTGTGCTAAGCCTTAAAGTGGCCAATGAACGGACATCATTTCAAAGGTCAGCATCCACAAGCATGCCTTTGATTTACGATCAACTATTTCCTATGATTTTCGAATAACCACATAGAATAACGATACATTTAACTTAGGCATGTGCATACCGTCAAGGAAATCCAGCGGTCGTTTACCTTTTCCTACCGAGACGGAGTGGTCTATAGATGATTTTTGGATCGAAAGAAATCTCTTGTAAAATTTATGTATTCAGCAGTTGTGGACTGATTCAAGCAAGCATCAAACAACCGTATTATTTGACGGTACTTAGATCAGGTCATTCGCCTTTGAGATAATCTAATTTGATCAATCGAAATTTGTGGGGGCACACATTATTCGCCTCCTCGGTTCACCTCTTATATCTATGAATCTCATAAGTTATTACTTTTGTTTTCGGCCCTAGTTGCAGTAGATTCCAAACCAGACAAAAATTCTAGAAAGCAGCACAAAATGTTGCATTTTAAAGTAGAAAGATAATGGCAAGCATATATTTCACATTTTTCTCGGTCCCTACCGTGTTTCAAACAAATCAAGGGACAATTACCTTAAGGACGAAGAGATCCATGGTTTACTAGTAGATGCGATATTCCCAGGTTTCAGAAAACAACCCAATTCCTAACTAGGGTATTCGGTGGTCCGTAGCCTGAACCGTAGGGCAGAAGGAAAATTTGTGGAAGCCTCTGTGTAATCAATTGAATAATACACTATCATGGTGTTGTCCCAGTTATTTACAATTTTCCATTTTAACAGTTTCGCCTTCTTTCACTATGTTCCATATACCAATCTCTCATCCCGTTATTGTTATTATTGTTGTGGCGTTGGCACCAAGCTTTTCCGCAATCCGATGCTAAATAATACATAATAATATACACTCTTCTGATGTGGCATATACGTCCAGGGTACTTAGTATGACGTAATATTCACCAGTGCTAGTAACCACTGCAATCAGGATATTCTTGAGTTAGTTTGTACCGCTCTTCTTAGGATCTTTAAAATCAGCGTTTTCCAGTTCTTCAATATGACCTAACTCTCCTGGTTCCATAAACTCGCCCATGGTCCAGGGTTTTAGCTTTGTTTTTTAAGTAACCAACTCAAATGAGTCATAATAAAAGTTACCACGATTGGGGTTCTAAGAGTACTATTAAGGTTAGTTCCCACTAAACGATGAATTCCACAACTGAAAGAAAGACACCAAGTAAAACGTAATCGTAAGAAATCCTTTAGGCCTAGATAGAATGGCGAATTTCGTAAAGCGCAACTGAAAGGATAGGAAAAACTGGACAGCTGGTTCCATCGTCCCAACTGAGGATCGAACCCGGAATCTCCCAGACAGAAAACGAGCATACTAACCATTCGGCCACAAGGTTTGTTGGTTCCGTTGCAGGCCAGTTTATTTTTAAGTATTTCGTACAATACCCTTGACACAAGTGATTCAAATAAAATGTTTCAAATTGGGTCATCTATGAGCAAAATTGAACATAATGATCATATACTGTTGATTCCATGTAAATAAATGGTGCGTGGCATCCGTTGGAAATTGAACTTAATACGAGAATCTACGAGCTGCGCAGCACTGCAAAAGTCACGTCAAAGCATACTGGTTTTTACACTATACTCATCAAAAAAATGCATGGTCAGTGCTCTTGAGAGTTTTGGACATCGCTTGTGAGTAGAAAGGCAAACAAATACCCTTTCTCGTTCTTTTATTTGTCGAATTTCACGGAACCAAAATAGTTCTTTCTAATTGTCACTTACACAATCTCTGAAGGAATGATAAAAATTCCTTTTTACTTTTCCAAACACATCCCATTAAAAATGCGATTTAGCTAGGCCAGTTTTATTATTATTATTATTTGTTAATATTGTCCAGGAGATTTTGTGGTTTTGTCATTTGCTATGTGTGTTTTAATTTGCAATGGGGTATTTCTAAAATGGTCATGAGTTGCGTCTGTGATCCTCCCAAGCTTGTTTCTTTTTCCTCTTTCTAATGTTGTTCGTTACATCATTTTGTGTGTGTTCAGAGTGGCAAACTCTTTCTTTCTCTTGTGTAATTCTTTAACACTAACTAGTATAAAACGTTTCCTACGTTTACTATCGTTTCTGCTGACGTTCGTGTTTGGGTTCGAAAACATGGCTGTCATAATCATTTTTAATGCTGTTTAGTATGTCCTACGTCAGTGAACAGTACCGTCATCTCTATCATTTACTGGCCAAAGTACCTAAACGTATTGATGTTTTATTTTTCGAGGGAATGATAACAGAAAAGCATATTGATGTTTTAAGCTTATCTATGGTAGCCTTCTTTTACGTTTAGCAGATTTTGATAGAAGTGCAACGATGGAATTATTTTTATCTTTATCAATAGTAATAGAAGTTATATTTAATCACTGGTAAAAGCTGTAAGCGATGACAAGATACACAGTTGAAAAGCCTCTTCCTCTTATAGTCGGTAACGACTTTCCAAATATCATGCTTTGTGAATTGGATATTATTTTGAAATCTATCTATTTTTTTCTCATCCAGCGTACTTCTAACGGTTCAGATGGGGCATAAATTTGTTTATTGCATCACAAGGTCTACGCAATCAATGAAAGAGAAGTAAAAACGTATTGTAAAAATTTCCTTTGCAAAATGGTACTTGGTTTTGATCATTATTTGGATACTTTTAGTTATTATCCGACAGTCGGAAGTCCTAAATAAATTGCTGCCGAAAGTAACGGATTTGCGATTCAATAGAAAATTCAAAGGAAGATGTTTGCTATCATTGAAATGTATGGCATTAGGATGTTTGTACGCCTGCTTATGCTTATTATAAATCTATGTTACCATATATTTAACTGATCAGGTGCATTCATTGTCTTTGTTAGTTTTTTAACTGTGATTGGGAGGCTTTACTTATTATGTGAGTTTATTCTGGGTTTCAAAGCTAAAAAGAAGGATTATCAATAAGATATAGCTATTCCAGTGGGGTCCAGGTTTCTCAAGGTGATTTTTTTTCTCGTTTCTCTTAACCGAGCTTCTCGATAGGTTGAAATGTACATGTTTGATGTAGTTCGGTTAGCGCTGTTATATTCCAAACATTTGCAAAGGAATGCATAGTTTTTCGACTTGGTTACTCTTTTGTTTACTTCATACAAGTCCTTTTCAAAATAAATGGGAATTTGGAATGTTCACTAAACCGAACTACTTAGAATGTTTTAACATCGTATGTTTTTCTGTCTGACGTACTTGCACAGTAATAAATCAAACTACTACAAATGATCGCACCATTCCAAACATTTGGCTACGTTACTATTTGCTCGACCGAGCCTGTCAAATATGCCCTATTTTGTAATACTAACTATCGGCTTTTTAAAATCTTGCAGACACGCACACCGGACAAGCAAGGAACAACCTCGTCCGCGATCGGGAAACCAGTAGAGAATCAATCAGGTTCAAAGTCACCCGGTCAACAACGTGTCGGATCCCGATCGAACTGCTCCGGTGAAGGGTGCGCATACGAAGTTGAGGCGCTGACCTTAGCACGTGATGGTGGAATTTTGGACTGGGACGATCGTGTGGTGGATGTTCTGGATGATCGAGAGCTGGTAAGTCATGGAATACTTTTTACACAAATACTTTTATATGCTTTGTACTCGCCACGAGGAGCTATGTACCATCAAAATACGGTCATGATTTAGGCACTTTTTATTGCAGTGTATGTTTTGAAATCCTCATTTACTACAAAAAGTAAAAACCTGTGTATCAATCATTGGTATGTTGAAATTCCTCAGAGCGGCTAACCTCTTGCGCACGTAAGTTAGGTCAATTTCTTATATGGTTTGGTGAATAGTTATTGAAACTGAAGTGAACAGACCAGCAGATGAATCATTGAATCATTGCAAACAATTGTTCGCCTCTGAGAGTTTTCCTTTTGTGGAAGTCGATTATTTCTGCATCCAACCAAATTTGTATGTTCGTCATTATCGTAGGATTAACTTGATTAGCTAGTTTTGCTTTCACATATCAGTGACATGTGATTATCAGAAGGATGATTCACTCTTTTTGGAGGAGAAAACATATTGGCAACCTCAGTGATGGCCTAGTTGACGCTGGTACTGCTTTTTTTCAACGGTGTGCCTCTTAAATCCATAATTGATATTCAAACTACTACCGGATTGGTCACAATTGATCTTGCAACCTCCGTCTCTGAAAGTGTGTTTTTAAACCTGGTCAACTCAAATGATAGAATGAAACAAGCTTCGACCTTCATAGATTACACTGATGGGGACATGTGTTATTCATGTCACCATATAGATTGCCACGGTGTGCGATGTTTGCTGAGGTAGGTGGAAGTTGGAAAAAGATCAAGGGCGGACCTGGCATAGGGGTATGAAAACCCTGACCAGGGCACCGGGTCACAAAGGTCTCGTTAGGTTAGAGACACTGAGTGATATGTCTGGGTGTCGCAAATAGTGGCAATCATGCATCTGTTCATCATACTTGTAACACCGGTCTATATAAATTCGCTATTTATTCTCAACATTCTACTCCTCATTCTCCTCTTTTACCCAAATGGTCAACCAAATGACAGCTACCAAAACCGGCGCACAAAAGTGCCTGGTAATGATTGTAAGATCTGAAGAGGATTGATGAAACGGACTAGTTGGATATAAGAAGGATAGAAATGTGTGTTTACGAGAACCACCATCAGTTTGCTGTTCTTCCTTCGTAAGTGCATATCATATTGTTCCTAAACCGTAAGTAATATAAGTATGCTACGTACTGTCATTGCATTTGGAGGGACTATACCTTTTTCAATTTAAGATGTCCGAATATCAGTTTAAGGTGTCATAATATCAATTTAAGATGTTACGATGTCAACTCAAGATGTCCGAATTTTAATTTAAGATGTCATGTTGCTATGCCAATAGTACGATAGTGCGTTAGCCCCATAATTTCACATTGTCTTGTACTTTTTGTGGTAACCTTGTTTCCACGTTCAGTCCATCCTTGTGGTGAAGGCATGTCTGCTGTACAGTCGAAGTTCACTGGGCCTGCTAAAGACTCGCGGCTGTAGACAAGGTGTGGTTTCTCGCTCGGGTTAGCTGGGCAAGCACCTGGTCCCTTGGTATGGCTGAACAATCGGGCCGATCAATAAATGAGCCCGATCGGTCGTGCTTTTCGGGCCGGCATGGGAGGAAGATAAGTTCTAAATCCGATGCTGCTTAAGTGTTGGTAGACAATCACTACAGGAGAATCAATGGTGGAACGGTGCGCCATTTGGAAAATTCGGAACGTTTAAGCGATGATGACACTGGGTCAATGTTTGACTCGTCTAAAATACACGCACTATTTTACCAAGTGGGTTCGGTAAACGGATAATCATAATAAAACTTCGACCTTGTCCTAAGTACGGACTAAAATATCCACTAATATAGGTCCACGCAAAACTCTTCTTGGTATTTTGCCAACTGGCTTTTTTCACGTTGACCAATCTTGCTTACTACATCGGAGGAGAGAAAAGATATTATGGAAAAATGCATATTTATTTTTTAACAGTTGTTCAATATGTTTTCCATCCTGCTGCTTGTATAGCAAAATACGGCGAAGAAAATTTTCTTCCACCTTCAGAATATTAACAGTAGGAATACGTTAGCAGTACTGTGGCTCTTCGATCCTTCTCGGTTTCCGGTAATAAACGGCACGTTTTAAATATTCTTGTCAATGTTCGAGGATGAAGGTATCGTTTTCTGAATATCTCATGATGGTCCTGTTGCTAACGGCAAGGAAACCGCTTTTGTCACTTTGCGTTCTTTTTCTTTTTGAACCACCTCTTAACAAATCTAACCACAAAATAAGGCTTTTGATAATGAATTGGTTGGAATGACTGAAGCCATGCCTATTGCTGGAAAGGACGAAACAAGCTAGTGCTGAAGTCTTCACTGCACTATGCGGTCCAACACCTTAGTCTAGAATCATAGACTAAACATTTCTAAATCTGTAGTAGTTCAGTCAGTCAAAAAGGACCACATTTGAGTGTCAGTTCAAGTAAAATTGTGAATGAATTCCATAATGTTTTGGACTTTAAACTGTGTTGAAAAAATGCTGAAGAGCATGATATTTATTGAGAACTTATTGGTAGTGTTTGATACTCAATGTTTCAGTCGAAACCCTAATAACAAATCGTTTCAAGATAATGTGATCACTCTTGTAAACCTTTGCACATCTCTACCGTGCAGTGAAAAGTTTACTCTACCCAAAACAGATTTTTTCAGAAACACGTTTCCAAATTGTAGGTTTTGGGAAATTATTCAGTCGATTTGACGTTGACCATTGTGCTATTGATCATTTTACGCAGATAGGGAACAAACGATACCCATTACGCGACACTGTTGATAGCATTTCATGAGGTCCCTTATGATTGGTTCTCATGTCTGTATATCACGATTGCCAATATGCACTTTTGGTTAGTCACTCTCATTTACTTTGGGCATCGAATAAACAATGGTCGTTAGTAACTGTCAACAAGGTAGAACGAAGAACTTCATTGGAATGGAAATTCTCATATCATTACAGAATATTGGCATTGGAAGAATAACAGTGTTTGACAGCAATAGCAAGGTGACAGGACAACATGAACCGTTTATTTCTTATTCGGGCTTTATTAATTCGGAAACAGTGGGATGCATATGAACGAACGTTTCAGTTTCAATTTTTAAAACCATTAAAAAATGAAAAAATCAAAAATCTTTTTAGTTTTCTCAGTACACGATAGTCGACTTAGTTGATTTATTGAACTAATAGTCATTTTTTTATTGAAAATACCATGCTGATAGATTCTGCTCTCCTGAGAGATGCAGTAATATTAAATTCCAATCAGTCAGGCATTCTTCCTATCGTTCAACACACTTAATTAGGAGAAAATTGGTTAATTGATTCGTGTTTAATGATTTATTCCTCCTCTCCCTCCCTCTAATCAGTGGGAGCTATTATACTGATGAGTGACGTTATATCTTTCTGAATGAATTACAAACAATCATTGACAAAAAGAACAGTCTGAATGGTTTTCATCAAGTAGTTTGACTATTGCTGCTCCCTCCGGCAGTGCCCGCTGACACGCAAAATTAACAAACAACATTTTGTATTTGGCTGCGAGACGTGCTTCAGCTAGCCAAGATCCATACAAATGGGGTGTGTTTCACGCATTATCTTCCGGTACTCAGACGCTAACGTACGTGTACACGTCCTGAGTGAAAATAATCCGAGAAGACCAGCAAATATAGTAGAGCTGTTTTTATCCTAGTGTTTCTCATTTCGGATCAGATCGACCTAGAAAAGATTGAGTCGGGCAGATTGGTTAGCTGTCTCAAAGCTTTGTGGCCATGATGGTGGCTTATAAGGATTAGCTCTTTCTATCTTATCCTGGATCTTCCCAACTCAGTAACCCCGTCTTCGTTTATGCGTCCAGTGGTTTCAGTTCACTCGTATATCGTTAACGTGCAATATTATCTTCAAAGTGTTTAGTTCACTGGGGTGTTTGTCTGTCGTTCTTGTTTATTATTGTAAGGAAGGTGGCTGGCTCTGCGGTGGTGGTATTCTAGTGTGCACTCAAACAGACGAGTGGTGTTGTAGACAGGGCCTAAAGATTCTGGGTTAGGCATCGTTACCCTTATTTGATTATGTGGTGGATCTTTCTAAGGATATCACTTTTATACTCGATGAGATTTTCTCATAGGAACTTAATAGCTTTCAATAAATATTGATAAATATGTTTAATTTTTTACCGGTCGTGTTTTATTTAAAATCATTTAATTTATTTAATTTTTCTCAATGGTGAACTTTTAGTTCCAAGGATGCTAGTTGCCTTGAGTAACTTGTGAGGAGAAAGTTTCAAAAGTTACCGGGTTTCAGGGACAATAACCACACTTTTTCCGGTTCCTAAAATGTCTAAAATCGTTATTTTCCTTGACACTTACTCCCGGAATAATCACTCAGCATAAAATTTACCAGGCTAAAAATGTTAACAATCATTACCCTTATCGAGAAAGCTTCAAATAAATGAACAGAAGAGAACACTGAAAGGAGAATTCCTCATTAGTCACGAAAGGAATTCCTCTAACAGTGTTTATCTTTTGACCGCATCACAGGATCTGAATGTTACATCTTCCGAAAATTTTTACGTTCAATCACTTTCACTAATACTCTCGCGCGGGAATTCAAAGGAAGTGTGGGTTTCGCATTCCGCTTGCATTATATCCGCTTGTATTTTACCGATCGATTGGGAAACAAGTTTGAAATGCTTAATATAATTCATTCAGGCAAAGTCAGGCTATATGCTGAGACACCAATTGTTGCAGTATTTTGGGTTGAAATTTCATCGCAGATGGACGACATCACTGACTTTTGGTCCGAAATTAAATTAGCTATTTCGTTTAGGCATAGTCTCTCAAGATTACTGTATACTCGATCCATGGACAGAGTCGAGTAACTGAGAACGCGCACGAAATAGCAGGATAAGTGTTTCGCCCATCCACCTGACTGTACCATTGTACCACTCAGTGATGCTTAAGTGAGATGGAAATCGTGATCCGGTTCGAGTGTCACAAAGATACAATGGTTAGGTTCCAGCTACATACTGAATTTTCTCCGCAAGGTTTGTTCAAGTGCCATGATTACTTGAAAACGGGACGTTTAAAGAACACAACTGAATAAGAACAAAGTGGAAACACTAAGAAATTTTTTCCCATATATCGCCTCGGGCTTTTACATATTTAGTTCAATTAGTCAATGGATCAGTACAAGGTCTGGACTGATGCTGAATGAATGTGTGCGTGCAGAGTTTTCAGTTGACAACAGGCTATGGGGTTTCGACGAATGGATACCAAAAATGCAAGGTTAAAAGTGTGAAATGAAAGGTGTTAGTCAAGAATGATTGTGACAGGTGTGAAAGTGTGAGAGAGAAAAAACAAAAGGCAAATTCGTCGTGTATATAGCAAATGCAGCGTGAACTGGAAAACTCTGAATCACTGGACAGCTGTTTCGACCTGGTTGGGTCTCATCAGCAGTGCGAATCGATAGACACAACTGGGGATCGAACTCGGGAACTCAAAGGCAGAACGTAAGCGTGCTACCCAATCGGCCAAGGTACACAGGATCAGACCGTTTTTAATTTTCCATTTACATGATATGGCACCATCTTTGCGAGCTTGTTGCGGGGCACGGAATTCACTCATATCAGCACTAGCCTCCAGGATTATGACTCAGGTGGAAGCATTCACAACCTGAATACTTGTTTCATGTTTCGTTACGTGTTTCGTGTAAATGTAAAATGAAAAAAAAACAGTCTGTACGTTTGCCTAGTGGGTAGCATGCTTCCGTGCTACCTGTGAGGTCCCGGGTTTGATGCCCACTTGGGTCGATGGATTCGCACTGCTGATGAGACCCAGCCAGGTCTAAACAGCTGTCCAATGATTCATAGTTTTTCAGTTCATGCTACATTTCCTAGATAAACGACGAATTTCCCCTTTGAGATAGTATCCTTCATTACTCACAAGAATAAAAAAAACAGTAAGTAAGGGAAGAGGGAAGCATGGAAAAAGTGTCACATAGAAACATAAGGCAGTCACTCCTATTGTCATGGTAACAGCAACGTTTGAACTAGATTACGTTGGTTCTATAGCTCCGGCTTCATAATCGTAATTGCTGTGGATGATCATACCCGATGGTTAGAGACACTGAGTGATATTGCTGGGTATCGTAAACAGTGGTGTTCGTGCATCTTGTGTATTTCCCTGAAAAATTAGTGCAACGGAACCCTAAATTTTCTCTTCGATCTTACTTTCAACCTTTCTTGTCTTTTCTTTCTTTCTAATTTTACTTCCTTTTTATTGAATTCACAATGATAAAATTTTCAGGATGAGGGAAGCGGCCAATCAAAGGGCCGCCATGGGGAAAGTCAGGCGGTGGTGGTGGGGTTCGAACACACATCCCCCGAAGTGATAATTTTGGTGACGTTACCACCGGGCCACCACCGCCCTTCTGTTCACCCAAATGGGCAGCCAGAAGACAACAACCGAAACCGGCTCACGATAGTGTATGGTTAATGGTTGTAGAAACTGAAACTAAAGTTATGGGTTCAGCAGTGGTCAGGATCTTCTTACGTGGTCCTTCAGTACGGTTTTAGGTGCTTGAAGAAACTTGCAAATGATGTTCTTGTCGTCTGCCATCGACCGGATGTTGCAGGATTGCGCTGTCCAAGCTTATTACTATTCGTTTTCAAAGAGCAGCTGGACAATGTTCAGATATTATATAAGACAAACGCCGCGTTTTGTGTTTGATATAGCGAGCACTATAAATGCACGTGAACTGGGATCAGGGACTGTTGAAGCAATTTATTCTTAAGCTGTTGAAAAATGAACGGCCCTTTATTCGACGAGAGTCGTAAATGCATCACCGTAAAACAGTTGACGATGGCTTTTGATAACTAATGCTCCAGGAGTTCTACTGCCCTGTTTCCCTTGACAGGAATATTTACGAACATCTTTCCAGCCCATTATGATTTTACATCGTTTGATTCTGATTCTAGATGTCAAACCAATGCCCATGAATTAATGAACGCATATCGTAAGCGCTGTTATAAACTCAGATTGTTGAACCCGAATCGCACTTCCGTTTCCTATCTTTGCGAAATATTTCGGGGGTATTAAAATATATTGGATGATTCTAAGCTGGCATAAAAGTGATCTCGGGAACCCATAGTCTGCGTTATTATTCTAGCTTTATTCGTCTTACTTACGCTACTTTGACTGTCGTTTGTTTCCTGGTACTCCATGCCCAGCGCGCGAAAATGCACGGTTATTGGTTGTACAAACTGAACGGAAAAAATACTCCATGCAAACAGAAACTGCAATATTTAAAGTAGCAGAAAAGGCAACTGAATTAGCGTACTGTGAACTGATATCAGTCGAATGGATTCCAGCGGTTAAGGTGAAAAAGGGTCGTTAAAACAAATCATCCCTGTCCTGAAACGGAATTCAGTAACCTTACTTCTTTCTGTTAATCTTCCCCTAATCGGTATCACAAGTTCGGGTTCGGAATGTTTCCATCCTTTAAAACCAATGCTAAGATCAGATAGTTTGGCTACTGGAAGTAACCTCACATGAGACAGATTAAGGAGGTGCCAGCGTTGTAAGTAGGTATACTTGCGTTCTACCATCGAAGGCTCGGCTTCGATTGTCGATTGGGGTAGTGGACTCCTACTGGCGATAGTATGCAACAACTTTGAAAGGGCTGCAAATATGGCCAAGCTGTTTTTTATCCTTGATGTTTGTCGGATCGATTGCACGCCCAAGGCAAACCGGCTGATCTTAGAAACTAATCTGTTTCCACATTGCAATAGGAGAAATGTGGAATTATCCAGACCAAGCGGAGCTGAATCCATGCGTCATTACAATCGGGTACACCTCCTTGGTTGCATCGTACCTAACTGTTAGCCTCTATAAAAGTAAGGGCGCGCAATCAGAACAGTTGCGCTAGTGTGGGTTAGGTATGGATTGGATCCACCAGTTGGATCAGTGTATTATTACCTAATTGGGTCACGTCTATGTTCTGCCCGTACAATTCTGGGCCAAATTCCAAACTGAATATCTAATACTGAACAGTAATATTTTTATTCACCTCCATCTGATCGGATTTTATTTTAACTTACATAGTGGTGGTTAAGTGGTGAACTAATACCGTCGCGGGTCCCAAACCGTCAGGTTGTCTATTGTATTATATTGATCATGAGCTTTAGTTAATCGAAAAGTCAGCGTACAATCTAGGTCCTCGATGAGGAAACCAGCTTGAATCTCCATCGGTTGTTTTACTGTTTATTGTCCATCTGTAGTTGATTCATGTAAATAAGTTGAGTGTTCCCGGGAATGATTGCTTTGTGCCAAATGCCGGCGGTTACTGAAGACAAAATTAGTGTAGTTCACTCGTTGTAACAGCTATGTGGTAATATCTTAGAGGGTCGGGAAATGCTCACTGTCGAGGTTACAAAAGGGAAATAAAACACCGGTGTAGTTTGAAGATGAACGTTTATTTTGCATTTCTGTTCTCTGTGCACGATATACCTTTGATTATCATCCATAAATGCTCTACTAATCATTGCGAAATTGCCTTATCATGATAGTCTTATGTCAAACATTTTTCAGGTAAATAGGCTTCGATTTTTATCACGCGACGAGAATGATGTACAGTCAAGAGTTAAATCCTGTAATTATAAATACTACTATACAGTTGGGATGTTGGAACGTTCATTTCAAACACAATTTATTTATTCCTTGATAAAATGTAGAAAGGTTATCAGTGGAGGGGAAAAGCAGAATGGGCTAGAGCCTCACAATCTCGCAGATTCTGGGAAGAACCTCCGTTCAACAGATTTTTCCAGTCATTTGGTAAGTGTCTTGCGGGTCTTGCCAGCAAACGAGAGGACAGTCCAAATTGGTAAGCTCTACTGCGCTAAATGTTTTTGAAAATGGACGAGGAAGCAGTCTCACGGTGATAAACGGTGATAAATAAGAGATGAATGTTAAGGACCGATCGGTAATGAAACAGATGACCTTACGCTGAACAGGGTCTAAAAGTCCCGAAGCATGCGGGTATGAAAGCCCCGATGAGGAAACTCACGTTGGTTGCGTTAGACTTCCTAAATAAGTGTCTCGGGTTCATCGCAATCGGTGGTTAAAGACACTGAATGGTATGAGTGAGGGTCATAAACAGTGGTACTTGTGCATCTGCCCCATATCCCTACAACCTTAGTTCACTTGAATCCTCCTCCTTAGTACTGTTTACAGCATTCCCATCTTCCATCTACTCCATCATCCCAATGAATAAGGAAAACATAGCAACCGAAATTGTCACATGGTTTGGGGTTACACGAGCTGAACTGTAATAGGTGAATATTTGAGGTCGTGATTTTAGGACAAAATGTGGGACTATGGTGAGCAGTGTGTAAAGGAAGAGTGGTGGATGGGCCTACGGTAGAATCGGAAGCAAATGAGAGACAAATACCCCAATCTTTTTCGAGAGATCGATAATTATAGGTCATCCAAAGAGTCCTCAACTTGAGGAAAGGCCTAATGGCAAAAGTTATGGAAAAACTGCTTTTGAAAGAGACCGCAAGCAACGGCTTCCTGCAGAACAGTTCGCAAGTTTGTTATCCTTAAAAGACCGTCCATGTTTGTCTGAGTGATCACCAAGTAGTTGTTCCATGCTTGCACGTAACAGCGATGAGAAGAGGGATTTAGGGTGAGATGCCATGGTTGATAAGCTCTGTTTTCTACAACGAATTTTCGGGGGCAAGTGTTCTTATGTCCGCCAGGGGATTGTTTTTTTTTGGACTTAGAAAAGTTCTTATTTTTTGGAGCATATTCTATACATTTTTCAAGGCTAAATTGGAAGGGTCCTCAGGAAATCCAGAAACCCACGGGGACTATTGAAATCAAAATAAGCGCGCTTCACCGTACGATCGGAGACATGGGTGCGGAATGTGGTGGATTGTGCTATTCCGTTTACAATGGTGAACGCCTGCATCTCTCGGTTCAGATTGTCACAAAATGTGCGCTCTTGTGAACGTCGAAAACATCTAGGACTGTGATCTGGGTGCTGAAATATGATTGCAGAATATTTTCAATGAGCAGTGAAAGAGGTTCAAACACAGATGAAAAGTGTTTAGGGGATGGGACGCGAAGCCTCAACCATAAGAACTGAATGCTGTGATCGGAAGCCCCAAGGGTTACTGGTGTGGAAAGGTGAGTTAAACGCACTTACACTAAAGTTGAACAGTGTATGGGGAGGAAACAGGACGTGTGCAATATCTCTTGACGAAGATAACTGATTCTCGGAAAGGAAAAGAATAAAGAGCAGGTATGCTCAAGGCTAAGGTTAAGGCCGCGAATGTTGGTGAATGCAGTCTTAATAAGTGAGTGTGATCGTGTGGTAAGATATATGCATTATGTAGTGTGCGAATCTATAGTGAGTTGTTGTTGTTGTTGAGAAACTGGCAACTTTAACTTTGAAACTTCGATTGGTGAACCATGTAAAGTCCAGGTAGGAAAGATCTTGTGTTGTGCTCGTTGACAGAAAGGCTGCCTACCACATATGCCCGCAGTGAGACATTCTTTTGTGGCTTACTGGTTCCGACGACTGGTGTGTTTACTCTTTCACAAGTAAATAGAAAATGAATTAAGCTCGCCTACACCCAGTGCTTTTGGCTGTAACATTTTGCAATGGGCTCTATGGTTCGATTGTTTCCCGCGCTACAATCGATGTTTTTAGTATGCAAATGGTACTGGTTTCCTTTGTGAAGACATCGAAGGCGATATATAGTTGTGTAGAAAATCTACTGGATCACCTACAGTGCAACGAATGATAGTAATATTCTCCTCTGTTTGAGTGTGCAAACAGTTGAATGAAAAACACATTGCATAGCCATTCCTTATGACTCTACCCCCTCGGTCTGGCAACCTCCCTTCTACTGGTACCCAAATGGCCCGACCTAGTTGTGGGACATTTGTCCGCAAGGCGCATACTTTCACTTATTGACGCATACAGACACACACACGGGCGATACCGACGAAAATATACATCAGCATGAGTCTGACATGGTCACTATTTCCTGTGTTTGGAGGGAGAGAGCGCAGCAGCAGCAGCGTCAGCCGTAGTAACAGGAACGCATACGGTTGTCAGATCCTTTTACGATAATATTTTTACGTTTTTGATAACCGTTTGTGTTCTCATTTTACTGAAACAGTCACGAAAACGTGGATTTCCACGAGCGACTTCATCAGTACGCCAAATCTCACTGTCGTTGATCGATAGGCAGTCCTGTCCTATCTATTGGGCCCTTAAGGAAAATTATTGTACCACCTTTGCTTCCCCATTGAGTCAGCTTCGATCGATAAGTCACCGCGTTGCATAGCATGGATCACAAAATACGGCTTAAAAAGTTCACATATCCCATTGATCCCATTTTCCAAGTACCGTTTGGACTGAAGCGCATTTATTTTGCTAAGTGCAACACTACTCATCGATAAGGACATATTAAATGAAGTGTAATCGAACCCGTTTCGTGACATATGTAAACGATGTAAACTGTTCATAAAGACGAAGTTCAAAAGTTTCACAGAACTGGTGAGAAAATAATGCCAATAAGATAGCAGGCATTGGTGGTCAAGTCATCAAAAGTAATTAAAATAGTGACCCGGAAGCCCCAAGTTCGAACCGCTCCAACGCTGCTCATGTTCCCTATTTTTATTTTACACAGCAGCCTTTGTATGTCCACGGTTCCCTACCTGATTGTTTATTGTACCTTTATATATTCAATAAAAATGAAGAAAGTAAAAAGATATTAAAAAATGAACGCTTTTGCCGGTATTATCATTACTGCCAACTCCAATCACAGTATAAGTATCTTGGATAAAATCTGTAAAACCTGTAAATTCAGTTTCGTTTGACGATAAAAATTTTTCTCTCCAGTTTTATGATGAATCGGAATCTGAAAAAATCGAAAAGCTTCTGTTTTATCTGTGTAAATTGCGCAGATACTTGTTGATTCCATACTTAGAACACACATATGCATCAGGAGCAATGATTCAGACAATCAAGAGTTTCCATTTCGCCTGTTCGCCGAGCTTGGCAATTTGTTTGCAAACGTTTCATCACCAGCCGAGGTGACACCATCAGTGCTTGTGAAGTGGCAGTGTTCTGTCTGTACCCGTTCGTTTATATATGCGTTCTTCCCCACCGGCTATTTTCGTCCCCTGTTCTCACTGTGTTCGACTCGGTCCGCCGTTGGACTGTTGCGAGCGGGTGGGGGTGGGAGGGGAGGAAGTTGTCCTTTCGTCCCGATTGCGGTTTCCGTCCGTTCTCAGGTCACGGCGTGACCTTTGTTGCGTCATTTGGTGAACGGGTGCACTGTACACATCGCCTCTATTGAATATCCTGATGAAATTTGTTGTTCGTACCTTAAAAATACCACTATAATTTGCGATCTGTTCGTTACACCTTGAATCAGCTATTTTGAGAAAGTTGGAGTGTGACTTCGTGCCTCTCCTACACCCACTCATTGTATCTCTCTTCGCCCTTATTTTCTCATTGTGATTGCAAACAGGCACACAAACAATAGCAGATAAAAAACTAAAAATAAGCTTGTTTGCCACACTTGTTTTTTCAATGAATCTATCGGACTTATTTGCACACGAAGGCGTTTGTACTCTCATGTCGTTGTAAACAGAACGGACATTACAAAAACTCTCACAGCACGATGTTGAATTTGACATGCTCGTAGAATTGAACGGTTACTCGGAGTCTAAACAAGCGTAATCGCGATGGACACCAAACTGTTTTTCATGGGGAGAACTAGGTTTCGTTTTCTGTTTTTGTTTTTCGTTTTGCACTCTGCTACACTCCATATCACACAGTACGCTGTTATCTACTTGTCTGATAATCAAGACAAACGAGGTTTCTAAATAAAAGAGTTAGGAGCAGATACATAAATGTCATAGCATTGTCCTCTGACGACATAATGCGGTCCATTTCAGTTTTTGGTATCAGATAGACGAACTTGTGGTCAAATGAGGGTGATAAAATAATGCACAAGTGTGAATGTATTATGGTTATTTTCCTAGGACAACCGAACACTGTCTCGTGGGTAGTGTTATGAGAAACGTGAGACGGAATGGCCACGAGAAGGACATTTTTATAATTGGTGAATGTCTCTGCATCACATTAGCTTGCACTGCCATTTTGGCTTGCGTGTTGACCGGGTTTCAATCGTGAACCGTAAATAAAATCATAATGTGTAAACCTCACTGCAATCGATCGGATTTTTGTGTTACATCATGCACCTCACAGGACAGCCACCCGGTCTGGTTAGACAATAATACTATAAACTTGTTTCTACTGTATTGCGGTCAGTGGAGGAACAATAATGGCCAACGTTTCGCTTGTCCGTTCCCGGGTATTCAGATAAATGCAAAAGCAGTCGTCATTAGTCGGCTTCTGCCTTTCTGATTGCATTTCACTTGAACTGTGGTCACATATATTCGCTGTTTATTTAAACGAGAAAAATCAAATAGATAAGACTGCATATCAAACAAATTTGACAGGACTATCTGCGGCATTTTAATGAACTCAGTGACCACCCAATTTACTGAACAGTGAGACATTGGGCAGGGGTTATGTATGATTGACCATTCCTTATTCCTCGNGGTAGTTAGCTACTTGCTTATAATCTATCATGAAACGTTCCACTTAACCTCGTTCGTCTTCCCTACTTGCACACACAAACACACCTATTGCTATACTCAGCACCAGGCCGATTGAAAGCGTTCAGTGTGACTATACCCATACTTTTCGGAGCAAAACTGTTGAGCTGAATTATTTTAGTCGTATACTCATAGTCTGAGCCTGTGCTTGCACACTTTCTCCTCCTGTCTTTTTTGACTGAAATTCAGCCCAAACTTCACGACAGATCACTAGCGCGTTCGTCGTGCACTCCATTCGCCACCTAACCTTTCTCTTCTCGATGTATCACGGACCACTGAGTTTCATGAACGTTTTGGCCCCCTGGTTAATGATTAGAAACTCTCGTGAATAAAGCTTTTTACTTTGCTTGGATTTTCCCTCGACTGTTTAAATTAGAAATTTAAACAGAGATATGCTACTCTCGTTCCAATCGAATCTATTGAACAGTGAATTTCATTTTTCAATTCAACTAGTGATTTTCTGATTTTCAATTTGGTGGCTCCATTTTTTAAATGTCAGACAGTAAACCACTCCCATAACAGTGTTTTATAAATTATTTTCTAATATCGCGTTGCTCATATGAATGTAGAAACCCCATGTACTAGTATAATTTCTTCATCTGCTTTAATTCACATAGGCTGAATAGATAAGCGGTAAGCCGATAATCAAAGATCTTTTTTTCCTAGAAAGCAGTTGTTTACCGTATGATTGCCACCGTTACTTATTTTGATTGAATGAGATAGTTTCTGCCGATTGTTGTTTCTTAAAATTTTTCATTTCTTATTTTTCAAAAGCGTTTTTTGTGATCTAAAATACAATATTTACGAAACTCACTTATTGTGGATTAGAGCGAGATTTTCCTATTGAACTGAAATATTCACGGCAATCCTATTTCTACGAAGAAAAATCATTTTGTTTTCTCTGCATTGTCCATTTGTAATTATCCATGGCAACGCATGATAGCTTGCTGGGTCAGTTCGCCCCATTTAAAAGAAAACATACTCAAGTTTTCTCGGTAAGTCAGCATTACAACAAATGAAGTGGGTTGTGATGTTTCCTTATCATAAAGGTGACACATCAAATTTGGAACGGAAGATTACCATATGATGCGCACGTAGAAGGTGTTATTTGTGCACCAGAGATAAGTATCACTACTACATCATATTATTATTATTATCATATTTAAAAGACCGACAAATTTAACTCGAACTACTTCACTCAAATAACTATAAATCCTTTACACAATATCTTTATTTATGTTTTTGGAAACTATCAATCAACTTAAATCAAAATTTGACTTCCAGTTTTCCAAAATTTCCAACTGG